TTCAAGACCAGCCTCAGATACACGATGAGAGCCGGTCTATAAATACATAAATAAATGTCTACAAATTGGATTAGGGCAGAAGAAAGGTTGGATGCAAAAATAACTAAATACAACTTTAAAAATAAACCTTATTTCATGTGTATACATGCCTTACCTACATGCATACCAGGAGTGTGCCTAGTACCCACAGAAGCAGAAAGTTGCATTGGATCCACTGAAACTGGAATTACAATTATGAACCATGCATGGGGTGGGTGTTGAGAACCAAACTCAGGTCCTCTACGAAAGTACTCTTAACTGCTAAGCCACATCCCTGGCCTTAAAGTCAGTTCTATTAAACCTTTCTAACACCAGAGACTCTTTTTAAATGGAGGGTTTGTTAAATACATAGATGATTCCAAAGACCAATAATACTTCCATTCCTATTGATTCTTACTATAGTCAAGTCTATTGTTCATTTTAAATAGCACTTGATTAATTTAGAAAGCAAAATTTTATTTTATAACTATTTAATGGCTGTGATTAATTCACAATCCAAATTATTAGCAGCTAAATTAAAACATCACATGCACTGTAATTAATTTAGCATGTCCTTTGTTTCCTTTAAAAATATGTGTCAGATTCGAGACCAGCCTGGTCTACAAGAGCTAGTTCCAGGACAGGCTCCAAAACCACAGAGAAACCCTGTCTCAAAAAAAAAAAAAAAAGTGTCAGATTATCATAATTTATAGAAATTGTCCAAAGTTTTATCTCATAATGAGCTTTTTTTTCGCCTTGCACTGTTATTACTTACCTGGAGCTCAATTATTTCAACTACGCTAGCTGGCCATTGAGTCCCAAAAATCCACTGATCTGTTTCTTCCTCCTCCACCATGCACTGAGGTTACAGGTAAACATCATTACACATGGTTTGCACATAGGTGCTTAGGTCCTTATGTTTGTATAGCACTTTACCCACTGAGCATCTCTAATCAGTGTGTATCTCTGACTGGCCTGAAATTCACAATGTAGACCAGGCGGGTCTGTATGCCTCTGTCTCCCTATGATTAAAAGCATGTGCCACAACACCTGGGTCTCTTAACCCACTGTAATGAAGCTTTGGTCTCACAGAAGTTCCCTGAAAAGAAAAATATTTTCTTTTAAATTTTCCTTTTAAAATTTTTTATAGGGGCTGGAGAGATGGCTCAGCAATTAAGAGCATTGCCTGCTCTTCCAAAGGTCCTGAGTTCAATTCCCAGCAACCACATGGCGGCTCACAACCATCTGTAATGGGGTCTGGTGCCCTCTTCTGGCCTGAAGGCATACACACAGACAGAATATTGTATACATAATAAATAATAAATAAATATTTAAAAAAAAATTTTTATAATATTTACTTATTTCTATATTTTTTGCCTGCATGTATGCTTGTGCACCACATGTGTGCTTGGTGTCCTCCAAGGCCAGAGGGCATCAGATGCCCTGGAATTAGAATTACAGACAGCTGTGAACCAACATTTAAGAACAGAAAATCAAACCCGGATCCTCTGGAAGAGCAACCAGTGTTCTTTAACGATCTCTCCAATCACTTAAATGTTCCTCCAGAGGCTTTTAAAATGCCCCACCCCTCCCTGAGGATCTCTAGGCAGTTAATGGTTGCTGGAGGGGAGAGAAATTTTCTTCAGTTGTGCATATTCATGAGTAGCTTATGATCCTATAACTAACACCCTCATCTATACTCCTCTAATCAATCTTAAACTCATTGGGTCATCCTCCCCATCATGCAAAACAAACAAAAAAAAAAACCCCAAAAGTAGAAGAGAGACTAATTGGTAAAAGGAAGAGGATCAAAGGGAGAGGGACAAGAAAGGATACTGAAGAGTAAATATGATCAAAATGCATTATATACACGTATAAAAAAAGCATAATGTAACCCATCTGTAAAAGTAATATACGTTAACCAAAATACAGCCAGGCAAGGTAAAGCAAGTCACAGTTCCAGTTTGTGGAAGGCTAAAGCAGGAGAACTAAAATTTTGAAGCCAGTTCAACTACAGTGAGACACCACCCATAAAAATAAATGAATGAATAAATTCATTTCTTAAAGTTATAAACTTTCGACGGGCATGGTGGTGCATGCCTTTAATCCCAGCACTTGGGAGTGCCGGAAGGCAGGCAGTTCTCTGAACTGAAGGTATAGAAAGAGGGTTCCAGAACAGCCAGGATTACACAGAGAGAAACTCTGTCTTTGAAAACAAATTTTGATATTAGGGATCAAATATACACCTGGCACTGACTTATACTACTACTTTCAAATTTAAATAATGTAGATAACAAAATATTTAGCATTAAATGCAATGTATGAGCAACATACTTTTAATTTAATAAGAAAACATTCTGCAATATACAAAGAAGGTATGAACTGATCGTGAATGATACATTTCAATGAAATGCGTCATCTGATTAACATTCCTGGGGAGGTACGCATGGGGTGTTTCCAGGACACATTCCTGTGTCTGACACATACATTCATGGATACCCATGAATCAATCAATCTCTCACGCTCTCTCTGGTTTTTCAAGACAGGGTTTCTCTATGAAACAGTTCTGGCTGTCCTGGAACACACACTGTAGACCAGGCTAGCCTCAAACTCACACTGTAGACCAGGCTAGCCTCAAACTCACAAAGATCCACCTGTCTCTGCCTCCTGAGTGCTGGGATTACAGGTGTGTGCCACCACCTCCCGGCAATACTCAAGTCTCTTACATATATACAATGTTGTATTGCTTACATATAATCTACAGATATCCTTCGACATTCTTATTTCAAGATCATCTGTAATGGTTAATACAATAACGTCTGTAAATGTCTAATGCATGCACCATTTTTTTTTCTAATATATTTGTCTGTGGTTACTGTCAGCAGCCCAATCTGGCCTGGAATTACTAAACTTCCTAATTCACTCTCTGCATACTGGAATCACAGGTGTGTATCACCATGCCAAGCCTAGATATAAACATTTAAAAGAAAATAGCCAGGTACAATGTGATGCAGGTGTGTAATTCTAACTACTAAGGAGAATGAGACAAGATAACAACTTGAACACAAGGGTTTAGATGTCGTGCATGAGCCCCTTCCTCTAATGAATGACAGACAGGGTGACAGCAAACTATTAAATAGGTGTAAAGAAGGAGGAAAAGATCTGTCTGTAATACTCCCATCAATTCATCTATGTTATTACTCAATACCACACCATATTTAAAAGTCCTACTTACTAAGGTAAGCTAATAGCTTACAATAGACTTAACTATGTGTAACATTAATAATAAACCTGAACTAATAAAAAAACACAGAAATATAGACTGGGGATGTAGCTCAGTATTAAAAATGATTGTTTTATATGCCAGAGGCCTTGGGTTCAACTGCCAGCACCAGAGAGAGAAAAATAAACAGATCATAGGCTTGATGACAAAAAATTTCAGTTATACCTTTAATATATGCTGAAAGTAAAATCCAAACATTGTTTACAACTCTAAAACCTGGAGTTAACAAATTTAATTAAATACAGTTTTTTGAATCTAGAATTCCACAACAATTCATAAAGATTTAGTAAAATACAAAAAATCACATTCATTTGGGGGAGATAAATGACAAGCACAATCACAGAACTGTACTTATTCAACACTGTACTGCATTAGTCCTTCAATAATGAGAGTGTATATTCAAATCAGAATGATCATGTAATGGTCATTTCTAAAACAGTGCTCATAAAATACCACAACTAAAGATCACTAACGGTGACACTTCCCTTTTCACACTCTACTAAGTTCTACCTACAGAAACTTCAGTTTGTGGTTTCAAAAGTCTATATACAATCATGGTATCGCTTATTAAAACCAACCTGTCAATTTTTAAATCAACAATCCAAGCAATAAACATAATCCTTACTGTCACTTTATCACAAAACATTTAGTTACTGGCTACCAGAGACCTCCAATATTTATATATAAAACCCTAACTATGCTAAACAAATTGCACTTACTATTCTGCTCACACTAGAAGAGCAATCTCAAAACCAAGTATTTGAATTTTTTTTAATATTTATCTTGAAAAAGGTACAAACATAAACTGAAAGTCAACACGTGCTAAAAAAAAAAACAAAAACTATACATTACCATTTCCCAAATCCTAAGTACTTACAGACATAAAGTGTTATATGGCTTATTTTCAAACACTAAATAAAACCTGCTGATATACTTTCAAAACTAATTCATATCAACTGTGCAAGAACATTCTTTCTCCATTTAGATACCCTCTTTTATCTCATTTCCATTAAGATAACTAAGAGGGATTATTCCTTTAATATACTGCCAATATATTCTTAAAAGAATCACAAATCAAGTATGAAGAGTGCTATAATATTTTCTTTTAATTAATTAAAAATTAATTAGCCTTTAAAGAAAAGCAGGTAAAAATGTAAGCAGAAAACAGGTAAATCAGAATAAAGATTAGTATTTAAGAAAGATTTAGTATTTTGATTAAAAAAGCAAAATATTCACAAACAAATGATATAACATTTGGCCGCTAGGAAAAATAAAACATTAGCATCACAGAAAAATATAAAACAGCCAAGAATATTTAGAATTCAAAGTTGTTCTATTGTAAAAGCAAAAAGCTGATGGGAAAATTACTTACATGTGACATAATCAGTTAGTGATACATAGCAACAAACTATCATTGCCCAAGTCACCTCAGATTTTGTAAGATGACCTGTTAACACATGCAAAAAAATCACTCTCATGCTGTCAAACAAGTTCTATTTAAACTTTCGGTTACAATAGTCAAAATCATATTTACAAATATGGCATTATTTTAAACCTAGTTTTTGATTTAGTATTAGGCCAAAATTTTTCTGAATTTCAATGTTTCCATTTAGCTGTAAAAAAACAATTTTACCTAAAAAGATTCTTTTAATTTTATTAAGTGATGTGCTACATAATTAGCAACAACAAATCCACTTACTTTTTTCTCTTTCTCATGATGTTTATCCTGAGAGTGAGAGGAAGAATCACTTAAACTTTGGTCATATGACCTATTAGATCCCCGTTTGCTCTTTTTCTAAAAAAGAAAATATATACATATATGTATATGTATATAAAAAAATCCACTTTTTACTTAAACTATTTTCCATGTGAAATGTTTAAATGTCAAAAGAATTTTTTAAAAAATCAGTATTTCAATTTATAATAGTTTAAACACAATCCACTTGCATTACAAAGAAAAATCTAATAAACCTAATTTTAACATCAATGCCATATTTTTGTATATTTGTTAATATGTGTGAAAACAAGCCAGGCATACATCTTTAATCCCAGCATTCGGGAAGCAGAAGCAGACAGTTCTGTAAGTTCATGGTTAGCACGGCCTACATACAGAGTAGCCATCCAAAGCTACATAGAGAGATCCTGCTCCATCCTCCACAAAAAAAACTTGAAAACATACCTATTTCAAATAAGCAACTATATTTTCAGAGAGAGAGAAAGAGAGAGGGGGGAAGAGGGAGGGGACAGGAAGAGCAAAGCTCTAACCAAAAGCTATTTACAAAAGAATGCCATAGCTGAAATCCTAGCACTTGGGACACAGGGGAAAAATAAATGGCAAGACTGGAAGAACAGAAAAAGTAAATATGTAAAAGAGATACTTTATTGCCAGTAGTAAAGCAAGAAGCATTTACTTTCAATAAATACTGAGAAAAACAGTTTTCTAAAGCCTTGTCTCTGCAGGTCATTTAGAACAAATTAAGACTAATGTCAATATTAGACCTATGTATTATTAAAAACATTACATATTTCTATTTAAAATACAGCACTGCATAATAGAGTACAAAGGTAAGAATGTTTGGGTGCTTGCAAGTTGCTCACACTGTAACTGACTAGTTTTAAACTGATTTTTAAAGTGACTACAAAATAACTTCAAGTTCTATAAAAGTTTATTTTAACCAGATGGATTTTCACAACTAGCAAATAATATCACACCAATAATTAGTAATGAGAAAAACTCTAATTGTATAAATGTCAAAATTATTTCAGCTATTTGTTTGAGATAAGATCTCATTGTAGCCAAGGAGGGCGCTAAACAACAAATAGCTACAAGATGACTTTCAACTCTTTATTCTACCACCTCCCAGGTGCTGGGTGGGTGGGGTTACAAACATACCACCACACCCAGCTTCAAACTTTTCACTTTTATAATGTCTAAACTTCTTATAAACAGTTCATTTTTACCAGCCCATTAAGATAAATCATCGTTAGCAATGACTAACACAGACACACACTCTAGCTAATAGTCATGTATCATTTAATGAGGAACATCATAACAACTTGCTGTATTAGGTGATTTCATGAGTAGAGGCCCGAAGAATGGTTAGTATTATTTAGAAGAGGAAGGAGGGCAATTGCTATTCAGCAGGTAATAGCAATTAAAAATAAGACAGAGAGATAAAAACAAAGAAAAAATGTTAAGTATATGAATCTACATATGTAAGAATTGAAAGAGGTACTTAGGAGCATTAAAAATACTTATTTTTCAAAGGAAATTGGACATAAGTATGTAAAACCCAAAGCTTCTAACTATGGGCTACGGACATGGCTCAGCAGTTCAGAACACTAGTTGCTCTTTCAGAGGGCCCAAGTTCAGTTCCCAGCACCCACATGAGGGTCCATAACCATTCATAAACTCCAATTCCAGAAGATCTGACACCCTCTTCTCACCTCTGTGAGCACCAGGCACACTTTGTGGTGCATATACACACATACAAGTAAAACACTCATACACATAAAATTTAAAAACTTTGAAAACTAAATGCTTCAAAAGGTTTCTAATTCAATCATCCATGTAACTGTTTAATCACAAAGTCTGACTAAATCTTAAATCCTTTCAAGATGGGTCTAAATATATTTTATCAGAGTCTTTAGTCAAATAACAAAACAGCCTAATTTCTGTTTTATTATTTCCTAGTAAATAAAAACAAAAGTTACATATATAACAAATAAGATGGGTAACAGAGATGCAACAGGAAGATGAGACAAAATACAAAAAATTTCAAAGTGATTACAAACAGGAAATCAAAGCAACTAGAACAAAGAGTTCTCCAAAAGTTAATTTTTCCACTAAATGATATTTGCTGTCGGTTATTAGAATATTCTAGTGAAGCAAAATATTTTACTGTCACTAGTTCTTTCCACTCAATACAGAACATACTAAATGAATTTAATTTTTAGCAAAAGTCAAGGAAGAACTGTGACTACGCTCTTATTTTATGCCCTTTGTAAGATGGTGTCACCATCTTGTCAAAATCAACTGCTATTTAATACTAAATTTAAAACTGCTCTTACCAGCTTACTAAAATGGTATTTACAGTAGCCACAGTACTGGACGTTGTCTGCACCATTTCCTTCTTCTTCACAAAGCAGCCCAGCAAACTGGGCACTGCAAACAAAAGCCACAGACATCAATGATTCTCAAGCCATGACACATTTAAGCAAAGAAAATTAACCTTTTCGCATTTATTTGTCAGACAATATAGAGGAAAAAGGGGTAATATAGGGGCCAAGGGTCTAGCTCCATTAGAAAACCACCTGCTTTTTAGTATGTGTAAGGTCCTAGCCTTGCCCAAGCCCACCTTACTTGCTCACAGAAGGGGACAGAAAAGCTCTATTGCAGTTGTAATCAAGGTCATTTCACCTCCACTTGTAATTATCATTCTTTAAGACTATGGTTATAGTTTATGATAACCTCTTCATTTTTATCATGAAGATATATGAAGGTTTTATGTCACCAAATAGTGATTAAGTTGCTTTAAAAGTTGCATTCAATGACACACCCCTGTGATTCCAAGTGCTTAGGAGGTTGATAAGAGTTGAGTCTAGGATTTAAAACAAGCATGGATAACAATGAAAGCCCAGGAAAACACAATAACAATGTTTCATAAGATAATTATAATTTCAAAATATTAAATATAAAAATAAATACAAGTTATTAAAAAAAGGGAGAAAGAGACAAATTCCTTTTCTCTTCATAATTAATAATTCTTCTTACTTTTACAATCAGTATGTTAGTACAAATAAATGTCATGCTTCACTAGAGGTCTGAAGCAGCAATGCGGTAGGGATGGGGTGAACAGTGAGTGCCCTTTCTTTTTGTGGACTGGTCCTGAGGCCTCTCATATGCTAGGCAAACACACTACTACTCAATTACATCCCTATCCATCTTTGTTATTATCTTTATTCATGTATTCGGCATGTATTTTTGAGGAGGGTAGACACAATGCATTTACAGAGGTCAGAGAAGAACTTGAAGAGTTGGCTCTTTCCTTCCACCATGTGGGATCCAGAGTTCAAACTCAAGTCATCAAGGCTGGCAGCAAGCATCTTTATTTGCTGAACTATCTTGTCAGGTCTTTTGTATTTTAGAAATATGGTCTCTCTCATAGAGTTTTCCAAAATGGCTTCATATTACACAGCTCATGCAGGCCTTGAATTTGTAATTTTCCTGCCTCCACCTGAGTAGCAGGTATCACATGCTTGTACCACCGGGCCTGGCTCACACATCAACTTAAAAGGAAACATTCTTGCAATTCATACATGTTTCAAAATCATAGCTCAGTAAGCAAGATCGATATAGACTATGTTTTTGGTCAAAATAATAAACAAGGGCTGGGGATGTAGCTGGACAGCAGAGTGTTTAGCTCTGAGGGGGAAAGACTTCCCCAGAGCAAATGTTATAGCTCTGAAGGGAAAGGTATCCTGGCAAACAGGGAGCCAAGGAATACCACAAAATCATACCACACGACAAACCTCGCACAAGAAGATTTATTGGGAGGGGAAAAACCCAGGAGCGTGGCTGTCTCTGCTCGGCAAGAAGCAGCAGGGACTGGGATTACAGAGGGTTTCTGTGGGGACACAAACATGGTGGCGATGAGTAGGTTTTCAAGTCCTGAGCTTGGGCTTTTTACTCTGTAGGAACTCGGCCACCTGAGGCTGAAAGAGCTGGGATCCAGCTGGTTGGTGGAGCCTGACAGAAGGAGATACTCAGGAATGGGGCCTGGCCACCCTTATGCCTCAGGGTCTTACACAAGTTACAGAGTTTGATATTCAGCGCTGAACAAAAAACCTAATCCAGTAGAAAGCAATGTAATAATACATGTGTAGACAGATATTTGATATCATGATGTTACATAATATAATCGCCAATGCTATTTATGTACAATAATGGAAACATACTTACCAGGTTACATGGAAAGCCTGTCGACATCCATGTTTATTACATGTCATGCAAGCACCAGTAGCTGCTTTGCTTTCTCTTCCTTGTTCATCACATATATAGCAAGTCTTAGGATAAAGGGACAAAAACAAAAATAAACAGACAGGGCTTTATATGAATCTGTACTTTATAGCTATCTTCAGAACAATAACATATTAACTATCTAATCTTCTTATTAAGAATGTCAAGTTCACAAAGGCACTGCTTTCATTAGCCTTTTCACTGTACTCCAAAAACCTGCCAGACAAAAGGCCTCTTAACTGGCACTGAGGTCAAGTCTTCCATATCTTACAAAACCAAACGTGAGCAAAGTTTAGGTTACATAAGTCTCCATATTAGCAATTAAGCCCCAATAATATAACATGCTGTAGTAGGATGGTAAATCAGAAATTCTTTAAACCAACCCCAGCAACTTTAACTGACATTTTGTTCACTTCCCATGTAAAAATAGGCTTTGACAGCTCAAAATCATGGATGGCCATGCGACAGAAAATTACACAAATATTATTTTTTTTTTTTGAATTTTCGAGACAGGGTTTCTCCATAGCTTTTTGGTTCCTGTCCTGGAACTAGCTCTTGTAGACCAGGCTGGCCTCGAACTCACAGAGATCCACCTGACTCTGCCTCCTGAGTGCTGGGATTAAAGGCGTGCGCCACCACTGCCCAGCCACAAATACTATTTTGTGATGAACAGTATACAGGTGAATAAAATCTCACAGCCAACTAGAAATTGGTTATAAAAAGAACAATGTCCAGCATTAGCCCATAAGGAACTTTAAGAAACAGAAGCCAGGAATGATATAATACATATCCATAATCCTAGCACTCAATAGGCCGGAGGTAAAAAGAACCACAATTTCAAAGCCAGTCTAGATTACATAGCAAGGTCCAGGCTATGAGTTTGATAATGAGGGGGGAAAAAAGTGCCAGGCAGTGGCAGCATACACCTTTAATCTCAGCATTTTAGGAGGCAGATAGATGAAGGTGAATCTCTGTGAGTTCAAGACCAGCCTGGTTTACAAAGAGAACTCTAGGATAGCCAGGGCTACACAGAGACCTATCTTGAAATACTGGGCGGGGGGAGGGGAGGGCTAAGTTTAACAGTTCTTAAGACACGTTTTTATTGTAACAGGGTTTAGAGTGTATGCACAAAGTCACTGTTAAACTAACAAGGAGAATTCTACACTGTATCAAAATGTTACAATACCTCATAAAAACATGGTAATGGACATTAAAAAGAACAGGAGCAATAGCTCAACTGGAAAAGTAGTTGTTGCCACCCAAGCATGAGAACCTCAGTTTAATCCTCAAAACCCAGGCAGTCAGCCTGACTGACTTACTCAGCAAGCTCGGGGTTGGTAAAAGACCCTGTCTAAAAACAAAGATGGATGGCATCATATCCGAATAACACCTAAGACTGACAACAACTGGCCTCCATAGACATGGACATACTTTGCTTTTGTTTTTTTCTGAGACACAGTTTCTCCATATAGCACTGGCTATACTGGAACTCACTCTATAGATCACGCTGGCCTCAAACTCAGAGATTCACTGGATTAAAGGCATGTGCCACCACACCAGGCTTCACGCATCTTTTTTAAAAGGTGTAACCACAGCTGCATAACAGACCAGGCATTTCAAAACTGTAGCAGAGAGAGGATGGAGTGGTAACTCAGCAGGTAAGAGACTGGCTGCTCTGCCAGCAGACCCAGGATCAGTACCCACAACATATGTCAGGTAGGCACTAGGCACACATGTGGTGCTCAGACATACATGTATCCAAAATATCCTTATACATAAAATAAACTTTTTTAAAAAAATTAACAGTAGCAATCCAATTGTGGTTCAAGATCATTCTGAATTACCCTGAGACCTTGTCTTCCCAAGCAGTAATGATGCACATCTTTAATCCCAGCACTCAGGAGGCAGAGACAGGTGGATCTCTGTGAGTTCAAGGCCAGCCTGGTCTACAGAGTGAGTTCCAGTACAGTGCCTAAAGCTACAGAGAAACCCTGTCTCAGGAGGGTGGGAAAAACTGAACTTGGGTTATTTAAAAAAAAAAAAAAGTCATGAGGTTGAGAAGGAGACAAAAGAGGGTCGGGAGAAGTTGGAGAAGGAAATGTGGGGGAAATACATAAAATCAAACCACTGACTATATGTGAAATTCTCATACATTGACTATATGTAAAACTATCCAATTATATGTGTGTGTGCGGGTGCATGCGTGCATGCGTGAATAAAAACTAGGTGTGGTGGCACACACCTTTAATCCCAGCACTCAAGAGGCAGAGGCAGGAGGATTACTGTGACTACCCAGGTCAGAGAGAAAGGACACATATTTTTCAGGTTGTGAAACTAATTTAGATGGATTGAAGATTGAAATCTAAGTGATTTGCTCTTCCTTTCACCCCTCTCCCTTTCTCTCCAAATACTTTATTCTTAAAACCAAGAGGTGGAAAAAGGGAAATCTCCACACTAGAAAGTCAGGGACAGTCCAGTGTCACAATCTGACTAGGGTTTGTTCCCCTGAAAGAAGCAGGCTAGGAGTGAGACATCAGAACAAGGGCAAAAATCAACCACAGAGGGGAAGTAGGCAGCAGTGGAGTGAAGCTGCTAAACCCTGAAGAGGAAGAAAAGAACTGCCATGCAGGGCAGGAAGAAGTGGGCCTGAATGAAGCTTTGATGCAATAAGGATCTGTTCATATAGGTAAAAAGAAATAAACAAATTACTAAAGATTAAGGAAGTCATTTATCTTTAGATTGAAACAAGCCATAAATATGACAAGAAATAATGATAATGAGCCTAGATCTTCTAGATTACATTTGGTAAAGTCGTTGAGTTTATGAACTACCAATATATATAGACACTGATACAGAACATATCAATATGTTCAAAGGTATATCCAAATACTGCATCAGAATTCAACCACTATGGACTCAGTTTTTAACATATATGATGTAGATATTAATACATGCAAATTTGCATTTAAGTGCTAATAAGCATGTCTCTATTTTCTAACTATAACAACTGAAAGAACCTAAGACCAAAAATGCCCTAAGAATAATAAGTATGTTTAATGTATACATTGGTCTCTAACTATCATTCTCATGTAAAAGAAAATCTAGTTCCTTAGAGTAAATTAATTCTAGTAGTACTAGACTACCCATGAATCGAGATGAACCACAATACAATGCTGTGGTGAAAAGAAAATGCTCACAGAACGAAAGAAACGAGTCGAGAGACTAAGGAGGCAGATTAAAGAGATACCATCAGTCAAGCTGCAACATAGCACGAACATCAAAATAAATGAAGATAACAGAGCAGGAACTATTTCAGAAACATACAGGACTATGGCTTGGGTGGCAAAGTGCTTACTTAATATAACAAGAACCTGAGTCTGATTCACCAGAGTCAAACAAACAAGGCATGGTAATACGTCCTGTTATTCCAACATTCGGGAAAGATGCAGAAGGATCAGACATTCAAGGTTATGGAGCTTAGTTAAGAACACTCGCTATTCTTGCAAAGGACCCAGGTTCAGTTCCCAGTGGCCACATCAACCAGCTAACCAGAATATCCAACACACTGTTCTGGCCTCCATGAGCACCAGCACATATATGGTGTACATACAAGCAGGCACATACACATAAATAATAGTAACTAATCAAATAACTATCTTTTTTTTTTTTTTTTTGGTTTTTCGAGACAGGGTTTCTCTGTGGTTTTGGAGCCTGTCCTGGAACTAGCTCTTGTAGACTAGGCTGGTCTCGAACTCACAGAGATCTGCCTGCCTCTGCCTCCCGAGTGCTGGGATTAAAGGCGTGCGCCACCACCGCCCGGCATAAATAACTATCTTTTTTTTTTTTTTTTTTAAATATTTATTTATTATTTATTGTGTATACAATATTCTGTGTGTATGCCTGCAGGCCAGAAGAGGGCACCAGACCCCAATACAGATGGTTGTGAGCCACCATGTGGTTGCTGGGAATTGAACTCAGGACCTTTGGAAGAGCAGGCAATGCTCTTAACCTCTGAGCCATCTCTCCAGCCCCCAAATAACTATCTTTTAATGAGGTTTGAACTCATACTTAGCTACATTTCAAATGAGACTAACCTACTATTCATTGACTCTCTGAAAACAAAATATGACAGCACCACATTTAAGTCCATACTATAACTGCACTTTTTGTTATATCAGAATGCAAACTAAAAATAAATAAATAAATAAATAAATAAATACAGAATTAGCCCTGAATCATAATAATAAGTTAAGAAGTAGTTGTGGGGGCCTGGAGAGATAGATAGCTTAGAGGTTACAAGCACTGGCTACTCTCTTCCAAAGGTCCTGAGTTCAATTCCCAGCAACCACGTGGTGTTTCAAAACCATCTATAATGAGATCTGGTGCCCTCTTTTGGCTTGCAGGCATACATACAGGCATAACACTGTATACATAATAATCTTAAATTAAAACAAAAAAGAAATAGTTATGGATGCCAAAATGAGTAAAAGGCAGAAGACATACAAAAGATGTTTACATACAAATTAATTTCCCACAAAGTGACTAATAATTATAAAGGGAATAAAATCAATCTACTAGTAGAAAAACTTAACAGGCATAACCTTAACTAATGATGAAAGTAAGATTATTCGGTATGAAAAAAACTGGAATCAGTGGAATCAGACGCAATAAAAGCATAAAATCATTTGTGTGGCATTCTTTTCAAAAATGCAACCACCAAACTGGATAAGTCCAGACAGAATGATATGCTACAAAATAAAAACTACAATATTCTAAAGTATCAAACTGACAAAAGTCAAGGAAAGATTAAGTTACTATTGAGATTAAAAGATAAACAAAACTTCTGTTATTTTTTGCATCAAACAATTTATGGGAAAAATGAGAAAACATGAATGAATCCTGATTTTGACAGTTATGTTACAGATGTATGAGTACCATCCTTCATTCTCTATTTTGTAGTGCTAGACACTGAACTCAGGACCTGGCATATAGTAGGAGATGTCTACCCCTGAGCTTTTCTAGCCCAAGTACGCCCATCCTTATAGGAATATATAGTATGGAATAACAGAGGAGGAACTCTATACTATTCCCACAGCTTATGTATAAACCTTTATTTCAAAATTTGTAAGGAAAATAGGTTTTTACATTAATTTTAAAGGTACTAAGCAATACAGGTTTGAGAGGCATGTCCGTGGTTAGGAGTGCCTGCAATGTAACCCATTAAGATCTGAATTCAGATCTTAGCATAAATGTAACAAGCAAGGTGAGGTACCACACACACATTTTAACCCCAGCACTACAGAGGAAAGAGAGAGGATTGTTGGGGCTTACTGTTACCAGCCTAGCCAAAAGAGGGGGGAAAAAAGAAAACACTTCAAGCTTCAAGATCAGTGAGAGACCCTGTCTCAGTCAACAATGTGGAAAACATGAGAACAGTCAATGCCTTCTTCTGACTCCCTGACACACACCTGCACACACACACACACATACAGCACATTTACATATACCACACAGCTGTAATCCAACCCTCTGGAAGTAGAAACAGGAAGATGACAAACTCAAGGTCTCTCTCTCTCTCTCTCTCTCTCTCTCTCTCTCTCTCTCACACACACACACACACACACACACACACATACACACACAAACACACACACACCTACCTTACTTTTAGACTTTTAGCAAGTCTGAAGCCTACTGGGATACAAGAGAGCCTGTCTCCACCAAACAAAACAAGCAAAACAAACCTCCAGAAAAAAAAACACAAAACACCTTGAAGAAAAAAATGTTGTAATAAAACAAGGTCAATTAATCAACCTGAAAAACCTCTGAAAAAAGAACTTAAATACAACAGCCACTTTTAATGTCAACACAGCCTCACTCAACATGGTAATTATTTAACAACTGGAAATTGCATTGCAGAGAAAAATGCCACACAATAATGAAACTTCCAGAACACTCAGACCCTTTCACATGGATCCCAACAGTATGAACCCAGACACCACAAGAGGCCCTTCTATGAGGAGCTGCTCCACAGCTAACTAAATCTATTCTGTACTATACAGACTAAGGAGCCAGAAAAATTATGACATTTATTGATACAATATCATTTATTGATGTAAAAATATACTCAAGATTATTAAATTTTAAAAGTGGAAGAAATAGTAAGTAATATGATCTAAATATTTTATAAGCACTTGTGAGATACACAAAAAAGTCAACAAAAGATTTGAATAAGATTTATTTTTTCCAAATGTTTTAAATAAATACCAATTACTTAATCTGAAGACTATTAAAGTATCTGAAATCTTAAAATTGACTATGACATTCTTCTACAGAAGCAACATGTACCTTCTTTTACACACACAGTAACACTGTCTACCGGCAGTGGACAGCAGAAAAGCCTTGAGAGTGTGGGTGTGGGTGTGAGTGTGGGTGTGGGTGTGAGTGTGGGTGTGAGTGTGGGTGTGGGTGTGAGTGTGGGTGTGAGTGTGGGTGTGGGTGTGGGTGTGAGTGTGGGTGAGTGTGGGTGTGAGTGTGGGTGTGGGTGTGAGTGTGGGTGTGAGTGTGGGTGTGAGTGTGGGTGTGAGTGTGGGTGTGAGTGTGGGTGTGGGTGTGAATGTGGGTGTGAGTGTGGGTGTGGGTGTGAGTGTGGGTGTGAATGTGGGTGTGAGTGTGGGTGTGGGTGTGAGTGTGGGTGTGAATGTGGGTGTGAATGTGGGTGTGAGTGTGGGTGTGAGTGTGAGTGTGGGTGTGGGTGTGAGTGTGGGTGTGGGTGTGAATGTGGGTGTGAGTGTGGGTGTGAATGTGGGTGTGAGTGTGGGTGTGGGTGTGAGTGTGGGTGTGGCGGGGGGCGGGGGATGCACTAAATTAGGAAGAGATAAAGCAAATGGTTAAGATCTCAAATATTACCCTAGACCCTGAACTCCTGGGCTCAACTCATCCTCCTGCCTCAATGTCCCAAATACTTGGGATTAATGACAGAAAACTAATGACTAATTCAAACCTTAACATTTGATAAGACAAGAGGTTGGTAAATTTTCAAGGACAAATGTGTACTGAGGACCGAAATGTCCTGAAAACATTAATAAACGCCTAGATTAGAATAAAAGATGACATGACGCAGGTTTATGACTTTTACACTCTTGTGAGCTTATTTTACTACTGTAGCCTAAGATGGTAACTATTTTTCTCCAAATCTTTATGAAGTTAAAGGGAGGTCTTTAGTTTTTTAAGGGGAAAAAAAACATAACAAACAAAAAATTAAAAATAAAAACTAAAACCCACCTCTTTTCTATCTCCTAGTTTCAAAACCAAAAATGCAAACAACATTCAGATGACATCACTGTACCTTATTATAACGATCATGTGGGACAGACTGTAAAACGATTGGCTCCATTGTAGAGACATTGGCAAATTGTACCTCTGGAATATAGAGGGCACAAACCACATGAGCCCAACCTAAAAATAAATACATACATAATGTCATTCTTCAAGTTTTATCAAAAATAAAATTACTATCTGTCTTAAAAGATCTCTTAAAATGACTATTTAAGCAAATTAATAACAAAACCGTAATAAAAAATCTAGCTGCTGCATTATTTATGTAATAATTGTCCCCGCTCACTGCGATGAAAAGGTTCCTAATCATGGCTGCATCTGTTATGCACTGAACGTAAACAAAGGGAGCACTTATGTATTCAGCTGCTGACACTGATACTTAAGGGCAGACTAAATTCAGATTAACACTACTTTCTGAAACCCACTTTCATTTGAAGAAAACAGGTATGATGATTCCCAGCACTCTGAACACTTTGAAACTACATCAAAAGGTGTTTCTACACTTCCAGGTCAGTCAATCTACACAGTGAGTTGAAGATCAGACTACTGCCAAGTTAAGACTATTTTAAAAAGCCAAAAGCAAACGCATAAATAACTATACAGTTAGTAAGTAGTGCCCCTGATTCATCTGTAAGCTCTAGGTTCCATTCTCATTTCTGCAATAAATAATTTATAGCTTTAAATAGCTTAAAGCTTCAAGTCTTGAAAGGTTGGATAGTTCAAAGGCAGAGAACTTGCCTTAGTCTGCACAAGGGTAAGTGTTGGTTCCATTCTCATCATCAAGGAAATAAACAAGAGGAAGGATTTTAATACTCTTAATTGTAATAACCTTAAATCTATCAGTATTAGTTTTTATATTTTGTCAATATTTTGAATGTTCAAAGGACGGGTGTAATTTTTCTATTTTAAATCTTTATCTGAAATGCTACCAGTTGATATTAAAGTTTCTTTTAATTATTTATCTGAGGCTAAAGAGACAATGTTATGGTTAAGAATTACTATAAAACTGAAAAAAAAAAAAGGTGAAATTCCAGGAAGGTGAGGTCACAAAGAGAAGTAGTAATACTGGAAGACTAGAAGCTAGGATTAAAAATCAGATATACTACAGAACTCGGAAAGATCACACCTAGGCTTTAATCATCTTAAACTCTAAACTTTGAACAAAGCAATCCAAAACAAGCACCATCTGCATCAAACAAATAAATATGCATCTTCTCTGAAGGAAAAGGCTAACATTTCATAATCAAGTCACAAATAATGACTGTAATTTGTTAATAAGCACTTCTAGAATAAAAAGCACTGAACATATTAAAGTAAGATAGCACAAATCCAGTGGAAACAAAATCAAATCTACAATTTGGAGTTATCAGAATATTAGTATGTTTATTATGGTCAAACACATATAAAGATTACAAGGTTGCTCATGAAAAAGGTGCCAAAAAAAAAAATCACCAAACAAAGCCAAAAGTACTATCAAACACCAAAGGAAGCATCATTTCCCTCAAAAAGGAAAAATTATTCCAAAAGGAAGCTTGAATTGGTGGTGGGGGAGGAAGAGAAGTGTAGATACTACCTATAAAAATAAGGGCTTATATTAAAAAAAAGAAAATATACCAGGCTGTAGTAGTGCACACCTTTAATCCCAGCACTTAGGAAGCAGAGGCAGGGGGATCTATGTGAGTTCAAGACCAGACTAGTCTATAAAGCAAGTTCCAGGACAGCTAGGACTGTTACACAGGAAAACCCTGTCTTGTAGAGGGCGGAGGGGGGCAGGGGGAGGGAGAGAGGAGATGAGAAGAAGCAGGCATGGTGTGGTGGTGCACATCTTTAATCCTAGCAGATGGAAGGCAAAGGCAGGCAGATCTCTGAGTTAAGGTCAGCCAGGGCTATACAATGAGATTGACCCCAAAACAAACAAAAAAGAAAAAACCAGGGGGGAGGGGAGGGGAGGGGAGGGGAGGGGAGGGAAGGGGAGGGGAGGGGAGGGAAAGGGAAGGGAAGGGAAGGCACAAAGGCTGGAGCCATGGTTCAAGTGGTTAAGAGTGTTTGCTGATCTTAGAGAGGGCCCTGGTTCAATTCCTAGAACTCACATGACAGGTCACAACTGTTAGCTCCTGGGATTAGATACCTTCTCCTGGCTCTGAAGGCACCAGGCATGCACACGGTTCACATTCATACTTGAAGCAAAACACACAGGCACATAAATATAAATAAATCTTTAAAAACAACAACAACACTGCCAGGTGAAGTGGCCCAAATATGAAAGATGGAGGTGTGAACAAGCCTACAAAAATGAAGGAAGGAAGGGTAAAAGAAACCAAAACTAATGAATTATTGCCTAAATGGTATGGAATAAATCGCCTAGATCAACACTGATAAAAACTAATCTACAAATGTAAGATTTGTTTCCCAAAACCTTAACCGTGTTTCAGAACAAAGCTTACAAACAGTTAAAGGGGTAAAGCATGGTGGAACATTCACAGTGATAATCCCAGCAATAAAGGGTTAAAGTAGAAAGAACAGTAGCCTAGGCCACAAGACTGTACATATATAAATATTTGTGTATGCACACATACACACAGAATGCAAAATATATAATTTATACCAAGAAAATATGGTAGAAAAGACAGGTACAAGGGTAGGTTCCGTACTAGAAACAATGACAATTACATAGGAATTGTTCAACTCTCTTACACAACTCTAGAAAACAGTGAAAGGTTTGTGGCAACCAAGTACCTACTCAATTAAGGAAAAGGCAATAGCTCTTTGACACCTTTCGTTCCCTTAGCATATGAATGCTTTAGGTTCAGGGGTCTTAAATAAACACAGCTAGAGCTGGGCGGTGGTGGCGCACGCCTTTAATCCCAGCACTCGGGAGGCAGAGGCAGGCGGATCTCTGTGAGTTCGAGACCAGCCTGGTCTACAAGAGCTAGTTCCAGGACAGGCTCCAAAACCACAGAGAAACCCTGTCTCGAAAAACCAAACAAAAATAAATAAATAAATAAATAAATAAATAAATAAATAAATAAATAAATAAACACAGCTAGAGTTTCCAGTGTAGACTCTGGCCTCAAAAGGCAAAAGAACCAGCGTAAAGTTTTATGTACAAAGAATTGTGTCTGTCACTGCTCCAGAGTGCTCCAGAGTGTCTGAAAGCAAACCAGGGACTGAGTCCTGCCTGTCCTTCTGCTCTCTCAGCGTTCATTCAGAAGAGAAAGTAGCCTTTTCAACAAAAGGCAACAACCCACTGATGCCTGGAAGAAAAGATTACAGTTGAAGCACACACTGAGTATCCAACAGAGTCCAGGAGGAAAAACTAGAGAAAGAGCTGCTGAGCTGAATTCACCTTCACCTTCCTAGCCCTGCGACCCTTTAATACAGATCCTCATGTCGTGGTAACCCCCAACCATAAAATTATTTTCATTGCTACTTCGTAACTGTAATTTTGCTGTTATAAATCATAATGTAACAACTTTTGGACTAAAGAGTTGCCAAAGAAGTTGTAACCCACAGCTTGAGAGAGCCACTGATCTAAAAAGAACTGAGATAGCCCTCAATTTTTACCTCTAGCTAGAATCTATGTATGGTAAAAACAGGAAGTAAGGGGATAAGGCAGAGTGGTAAACAGAATGAAACATCACAGAAAGAATACAACACAGACAGTGCTTCTTTTTTAGTTTTCCTTCTTTTTCTCACTAATCTGTACTAGATGTTCATCATCAAAACATTAACTGAAGAGTCTCCAGCAATTATATAACAAAAATAATCTACAAGTCTCTAAAATTAAAAGTTTTAGAACACTGTAAGCAATAAAAACTAAACTAAACCCCTAAAGGAAAGGTGGACCATTACTCCAGAGTTAACCCATTATAACATTCAATTATATCTAGTTTGTGGTTTTGCAATGTCTCTCTCTCTTGTTTTTTTTGTTTGTTTTTCAAGACAGGATTTCAAATCCTACCTAGCCCTGGCTGTCCTAGAACCCCCTCTGTAGACCAGGCTGGCCTCGAACTCAGAGACCCTCTTGCCTCTGTCTCCTGAGTGCTCGGATTAAAGGTGTGTGCGTGTGCGTGTGTGTGTGATGTCACCACCTGGCTTGGTTGTGCAAGGCTTTAGAGGATATACCTCAAAGCATGCTAAGCAAGCACCCTACAACTGAGTTATACAGCCCAATACAATAAATACATACATTCTAAAATAAGCTACAGAATTAGTAAGGAAAATATGGGGAGGCCCGGGGGGAGGGGGCTGTAGAGATAGTTCAGCAGGTAAAGTGCTTGCTGTGTAAACGTAAGACTTTGAATTCAGATCCCCAGAACCCACATAAAAAGCCAGGTATTCTGCTGGAAAGCAGACAGGAGAGAGAGTTGCTAGCTAGTCAGTATAGCCAATCAATGAGTTATAGAACCTTTAGGCTTCACAGGTACACACACAGGTACACATGTACACACAGTTGTGTGCATGCACAAAACCCCACAATTTTTTAAGTATGGCTTATTCACAGAAGAGTTTCTATCTTACACATGCCCAAGTTACATACTGAAGAAAGTTATTAAAAAGAACCAAACAAAAATCTTGAAGTTTTATAAAAATGAAAATAAAAATATTACAACAATGCCAACAGCAAACACAAGCAAATAGAAGGGGATAATGTGGGTTCCCCTCTGCATGCTGTGAATATGTATTATTGCCACTGGTTAATAAAGAAGCTGCTTTCAGCCAATGACTTAACAGAGTAAAGCCAGGCAGGAAATCTGAACAAGAGATGTAGCGAGAGAGTAGGCAGAGTCAGGGAGAGCCATGTAGCCATCACAGGAGACAGACGCCTGACATAGGTCACAACCACATGGCAATACACAGATTAATAGAAATGGGTAATTTAAGATATGAGTTATCCAGGAATATGCATAAGCTAATAGGACAAACAGTGTTTCAATTAATACAGTTACTGTGTGATTATTTTGGGTCTGGGTGGCAGGGAAATGAACAAGCAGTGTCAACAGGGGAAAAAGTAAAATTAAAGATAACTGATAATATCATTTGATGAACACTGAAGGAGAGGAGAAAAAACACAAAAGTGTAGGTAAAATACCTTTAAGACACAATACTGTGTACATGTATTAATAAAAGAATTTTCATGAGTAGAGGAGAAAGAACGATGGATGGGACTGTGTAGGGAAATAATGGTTCCAAATTTCTACAATTTCATAAAACATATGAATATATAATTCAAGAGTCTCAAAAACCTTCAACGAGTGCAGAAGGAGACATAATGATCAGTTACATGCCAAGGAAAAGCTATCATCGTTTTAAAGCACTGAGAAGCTATTCAACACAAAACAAGATGCTAAGTCAAAAATACACAGCCTACAATTTGTAATGGCTTGGCTTGTAAGTTTTGAACTCTACAATGAAACAAAACTCAAAAAATATTCAGTAGAGACAACTTCAAGTTTGGATATGGCAATTCTTCTAGGCTAGTAACATGTGGTACCATATTCTTCCAGTAAGCCAAAACCAATGTGACAAGTAAACAGCCAGAACTCTACACAACTGGGCTGACAAATGACAATGTTCAGAAGTTTAAGGCTACTAACTGTATTTTCAACTCAGAGTATAGTCAGGCATACTCTAACAACATTTTGATCAATGACAGACACTCCATATATACAACCATGTTCCCAAAAGATTACTAAGAAGGCAAATTATTCCAGTGCCTTCTAAAATTACACATTTATTACACATCCCTGTTAATATATAAACATTGTTAACATGTTTATAGTGATGTTAGGCTGAATAAACTTACTACACTAGCATTCAATACGCCATCCACATACATACAACTATGTGTATATACAATATTAAATAGTGGTAATAAGCAATTATGCTACTGGCTAATGTGTGTGCTCTGCTTTAAGTATTTTAATTCTTATGTCTTCTATTTGATTTTAAAAGCAAAATATGCCAACTATAAAGTCAGGTCCTTAAGGGAATATTCTAAAATGTACTGCTACTGTAAATTCTAATAGCTCTGCATGGTTTTTGGTGACAACGGTTTTTGGTTTTTTGCAGTACTAGAGATTAAATTCAGTTCCTCACACATGCTAGCACACACCATCACCATGCTACATACTCAGCCCATGAATAAGACTTCCCTGAAGACTTTTCAAGGAGATGATAGGTTAAGATAGGACAGTGGTTCTGATATGCCTGATCTTATGCAGAACAAGGACAATAATAAGAGCTGTTTCTGCCTAATTTTCTAACAAAACTTAAAAGATTTTTTTTAAAGAAGATCATATAGGCTGGATTCGTGATAGCACACATCTTCAATCCCAGCACTTGGAAGGAAGAGGCAAGAGGATCTCTCCAAGTTTGAGGCAGGCCTGGCATATATACAGAGTTCAAGGTCAACTAAAGGATACATAGTAAAATCCTTTTTTTTTTTTTTGAATAAACAAGTATTTTTTGGTGAACATAACAATGTCATTTATAGGAAATATTTTATATACTTCTATGACATTTTAAGATTATGTTATTACAAGAGTCAATAAATGAAAACAATGAAAAATTATAATGTAAAAATGCTACAGTAGCTGGATATGGTGGTGCAGGATTTTAATCCCAGCACTCAGAGGCGAAGCAGGTGGATCTCTGTGAGTTCCAGGTCAACCTGGTCTACAGAGTAAGTTCCAAGACAAGCTATAAAACAGGGAAACCCTGTCTCAAAAGAGGGGGGAGGAGGGGGCAGACAATGGTAGTAAATGATAATCCCAGCTCCCAGAGCTCAGGAGGCAGAGAAGTTCAATGATAGCTGGTCTACAGAGTAAGTTCTAGGGTAGCCAGGACAACATTAAGAAACAAAAAACACCCCATCTCAAAAACCAAGAAAGAATACCTTGCCGTCCTACATCATCATATTCTCTTGCCACTGGACAGCTTCAATGTGCACAAACTCATGCCTACACAGTACCCTTTATCAGGCAGGTTATTTATTATACCCTTTTAGTATTTGGATTGATAACTTACCACTATGTTATGCCTGTGTTATTCAGCATTATAGAAATATGTATATTTGTAACCTTGAGGCAAAAAGCTATATCATATAACTTAGATATATAGTAAGTTATATGTCTAGGTTTATGTAAATACACTCTGATGTTCACTAAGTAAGAAAGCACCTATGACACATTTCTCAGAACTTAAGCAGTATATGACCATATCTAAAAAGTTAAAAAAATCAAATTTTGCCAATAAAGTTTTAAAACTAAAGAAATAAATTGCCAAATTTACAAACAAAACCAACCAACAAAATAGAACATTTTAAATTCTTTAATCACTAAAAGCAATTACGCAAATTTATAACCTTGAGAAAACTCAGGATATATTTCTCAGCTATTTCTACCAAAAATTCCCAGATTATAAAATTCCAATTTTACTGAAATACCTCCAGAGAGTATTCCCATTGTGTTATAAAACCATTATAACATTACTGCCAAACCTGTAAAATAAGAAACCCCGCTTAACCCACTTATGAAAAGACACTTACATTTTTTATTTTTTTTATTCTCCAAAACCATTATCTTTAACAAAATATTAACCAAATAAATCTCATATTATTTACTTTAAGAAAATAGGCTGATTTTACTTTCAAAATCAAACCAGTGTAATTCCTATCAAAAGAAAGGAGAACAAGTATATGACCATCTCAACAGAAAAAAAAAGAAAACCTATCTTTATACTTATGTATCAGTCACTTAATTTTCATAGTTTAACAAGCACACATCTACATAGTTAAGAATGGTACTGATATATAAAGGAAGAAGTACTTTAATCCAGGCATGTAGAACATTCCTATAATCCTAGAACTCATGAGGCAGAGGTAGGGGAACTGCCACACATCTAGGCCAGGCTGAGCTACACAGAAAGCGCCAAGTCCTAAACAGAAAACGCCAAGTCCTAAACTATACACAAGGAAATAAAGAACAAGAGAGGACAAGAAAAAGAAGACAGGGAAAAGAAAAACCAGACAAATTTCTCAGGGAAAGATAACTCAAAGTAAAGATGCAAAATAAATACAGGGTAATTGTCATCCAAAATGCTTGGAACTGGAAGATAAGGGAGATTTAGCTTTCTGAATATTTGCATTGATTTTTTTACCAGCTAAGTATTACTAATCCAAAAATCCAAAATCTGAAACCAATGTTCAAAAGATGTTAGATTTTAACAGTACTTCAGATTCTGAATCTTCAGAAGAGAAAATGCTCAGAATCCGCATGAAAGAACTCCTTGCCTTATGTAGTTGGTACCCAGCACTTAGGAATAATACACTAGTAAGAATACTCGGTGAGAATGGTTGGTCCTGTAACCCCAGAACCTAGGTGAGACGTAGTAGTGAGGCCATCTTAAAAAGTAACAACAAAAACCAAACCATGTGTGGTGGCACACACCTTCAATCTCAACACTCGGGAGGGAAAGACAGGCAGATCTCTGAGTTCAGAGCCAGCCTGGTCTACATAAAGAGTTCCAGGACAGCAGAGAATATAGTAAACCCTGTCTCAAAAGATAAAATAAATCAATATTTCAAGTAGAAGAATGTAGATGATTCTACATAAAACAGCCAATACATAATGAAGACAAACTGTAAGAATAGAGAAAATGAGTTCAACTACACATAACTGTGCCCATTTACAATCCCAGAACATGGAACAATGAAGCAAGAAGATAGGGAACTCAGGTTAACCTAGATCACATAGTGAGACCTTGTCTCCAATTAATTAATTACATCATCATTAATATTTTAGTAACAATATTTAGTTTGATAAAAGAGTATGAATTACCAAATTTTTAAGTACTATACCATATCAATTTTTAATATTTTTTGAAAGACTGTACTTACCCCCATTATCTGTTCTTTTTAAAGCTCCATCTTTATGGGGACACAGCTCACATCTCTATTTAAAGAAAATTAAAAATAAAAAAAAAGGAAAAGGCAATGAAGCTTTTTGTCAGATCACCAAAACCATCTTTCCTATAACTTCAAAACTAACAGAGTAACATCTCTATTCATTGCCACCAAGAAAATTCCAGAACACTTCTCACAAAATAACTATTTGCTGAAAATACCTTGTTTTCTAAAGATTCATTTTTTATGTTATGTTTGTGTGCTCTGCAAATATGTATGCAAGCATGCATGTTGCCTATATGCAGGTATCCACGGAGGCCAGAAGAGGGTACCAGATTCCCTGATATTAAAACTATAGAAGATTGTGACCTATCATGTGGTTACTGGAAACTTAATCCAGGTACTCTACAAAAGGAGCAAATGCTTTTAGGGACTGCCAAGCCATCTCTCCGTCCCCCAAAATAATTATGATTTTCCTTATAATACAAGATTAACAACTTCGAAAGTATACTTTGATACTCTGGCCCCATAACTGGGCAGTGATAGCACATGATTTTAATCCCAGCAACCGGGAGGCAGAGGCAGGAGGATCTCAACTGAGTTTGAGGCCAGGGTGAGTTCTAGTACAGCCAGAACCACTGCACAGAGAAGTCCTGTCTTAAAAAAACCCAAAAGAGGGAAAATCTGCCCACCTCCATTTTTCAGTTTTACATGCCTGTCATCCCAACAACTGGGAAATCTAGACAACAGTACTGCCATGAACTGAAGCCATCCTGGGCTAGAAAGAGTTCCAGAACAGCATTGACTATATAATGAGATAGTTTCCCAAAACAAGCAAGCAGAATCCTGAATTTTATATTAATAAAAACAAAGGCGGATGTGGTAGCACATATTGAGAGTACCAGGATACTTGGGATGTTGCAGCATGAAGGTAAGTCCAGGAGTTTGAGACCACCCCAGAAAACAAGACCTCCTTTGAGGAAAAAAAGAAAAAAAAAAAAAAAAACTCGGTATGGTAAGACAAACCAGTTATCGCAGCACTCAGGAGGCTGAAACAGGACTACAATGTTCAAGGCTACAGTGAGAAAACATTTAAGAACAAAACAAACGAAAAGAAACAAGGCTGTGATATTTACCTAGGTCACTTTGGTTTCTAATACAGGGAAGAATCAGCTTGAGGACTCTGGAGAGATGGCTCAGCAGTGCAGGGCACTGGCTGCTCTTCCAGAGAATCCAAGCTAGGTCTGGCACCCACATCAGGTGACTCACAAAGGTTTCTTCCGCTGCAGGGGATCTAACATTCTCTTCTGGCCTCTTCATGTACAAACATGCACACTCACACACAAATGGTATACACACAGATACACAATAAATAAAAATAAATCTTAAAATACATTTAAAAAAAAAAAAGGACCCAGTTTGCCTAGCATAGTGATGCACACTTCGGAGGCAGAAGCAAACTGACTTCTTTTTTGTTTGTTTTTTTTTTTTTTTTTGGTTTGGCGAGATGGTGGGTTTGAACTCGCTCTGTAGGCCCAACAGGCCTTGATCTCCTACTATCTCTGCCTCCTGAGTGCTGGGATTAAAGGCGTGAACCACGAATGCTTGACTGCTTTCTTGAGTTCAAGGCAAGCTAGTACTAACTACCTAGTGAGACCCTATCTAGGCTGACAACAAAGTTTTTTTTAAAGGTGACAGACTGTACTCGGCCAGGTGTGGTAGACTTCAACTGTAACACCAGCACTTAAGGAGGCAAGAGAAATTCAGATTATCATCAGCTACATACTAAATCTGAGGCTGGCCTGGGATACATAAAGGCCTATCTCAAAAATTATCAAGAAAAAATAAAGGAAAGTAATTACAATCAACTGAACTATATCATACATTTTAAATACCTACAACAAATAAATTTAGACTTCTGAAAGTGGTAAGCTTGTGAGAGGACAAATCCATAATAAAGATGACAACTGTTAAGTTCTGGAGAATACAAGGAACCGCTACCTGAATGAAATGCACAGCAGAAAAGAAAGCATCTAGAATCCACGCTAAGTGAAAACCTGGAAAGAATGGAGAACACATCATTGTGTTCACCCTGAAGACAAGACATAGTCAACCCTTCAGGTTCCTGTAGTTATAATACCTAAGAACCACAACGGAAGGTTCAGAGCAACTTTGGTGTCCAGAAAGTAGATCTGAATCCCAAACAGGGAAAAAATGAAGAGAAAGAACCTACTTTTACAGTTATAAAACCAACCCAAATCTTTTGTTGACTTTACATCACACATACACAGGGCAAGCCATTAGCGCAGCTAAGGAAAGAAGAAGAGACAGACAACAAATGATATAAGCTCAGATCCCCAAAACCTATGCACAGCTCAACAAAGTAAAGAGTATGGGTAACCTCCAGTGCTCTACAGCTAGATGGGAGAGGGAAAGCAGTTTACTGGCTGGCAAGTCTGGTGTACAGTTTGAAACAAGAGACCCTGCAACAAACAACAAGATGAATAGTGAGGACTTACACCACATTCAAGCTTGTCCTCAACTTCTATACATGCATCATGGTATGCATGGTATGCATGGTATGCATGGTATGCATGGTATGCCTGAACTTCGACACACAAATACACATACATACACACAAAAAGATATTAAAGTATCAATTTTATTTTTTTTAAGACAGAGTCTTGTACAAATTCCTATGTGGAATATCTTAAAATTCTGATCCTTCTGTCTCTACCTTCTAGTGCTAGAATTGTAGGCATGCTTGATGAGGTGCTAGGTAACAACTAGATAAAGATTCTACTCAACTAAAACTATCAGTCCCTTCAAAGGAATACAACAGAGCATGGACTTTTCAACAAAATATGATGTTTGTGAGATGATCTATATTACTTGACCTGTAAAGAACCAGAAAAGGTTAACCATTATCAAAACAAAAGGAAGTCAACAAATGTCAACTCCAAGATTACCCAGACTTTGGAGATAGCAGAAGAGTTTTAAAATATATATATATGAAGCAGGCAGATCTCAAAATCTCTGTGCATCTGAGGCCAACCTGCTCTCCATGTCGAGTTCCAGGCCACATGAGGATATATAATGAGACTCTAAATTAAATAAATAAGATACATATGAAATAGAATGAAAATGTATCTGAAATAAATGAAATGGAAACTATCAATAAAGGAAAAGAAGCTATAAATAACTGAATGGGGCTAGAGGTGTACCTTAATGGTAGAAAGAATACCTACCTTTCATAAGGCTCAGAGAAAGAAAAAACCAACAATAAAGCCTGGCCTGGTAGTACAGAGGAGGAATGAGTCAAGTTCAAGCCGGCCACAACTGTAGGGATTTAAAGGCCAGCCTCTGCTATAGAGATCCTGTCTCAAAACTTAAAACAAAGCTAGGTATGTAATTTAGTTGTAGAAAACCTGCCTAGTGTGTGTAAAACTCTGGGTTTCACTGTTCAGCACTGTAAAAACCAGCACTGCAGAATACCAAAAGGAGGAAGACAAGAACTACAACATGACAAAAAAAAAAACCACCGAATGGCAATGGTGGCGCACACTTTTAATCCCAGCACTCAGGAGGCAGAGGCAGGAGGTTCTCAGTGAGTTCAAATTCAGCCTGATTTACAAAGCGAGTTCCAGGACAACCAAGGCTAAACAGTGAAGTGTGTATGTGTTGAGGAGGGGTGGGGCAAGGGCAGGGTTTATGGATGCTCAGAGAACTCAATAACAAAAAAGGAGGCTCAAGTGCCAGGCTGAAAAGGCAAAGACAAATGGACAAATGGTCACCAATTCAAGGCCAGCCTACTTTACAAAACACACTCTATGCCAGCAAGAAACAAAAGCCTGTCTCAACAGTAAAACAGAAAAGAGAGAAAGATCTAAAATATAAATGTGGCAAAGTACTGAAAGAAAAGAAAAATGTAATAGTTTTTCACTGTCAACACAGAATTATATATTTATATATCCAATTGATATGGGAAGAAATATAATGGCCAATCACCCAGGAGACTCAGCACATTTATGGGAGTATCTATCAGGTAAGCAGGTAAGGATTTTCTTTTTTTTTTTTTTGGTTTTTCGAGACAGGGTTTCTCTGTGGCTGTGGAGCCTGTCCTGGAACTAGCTCTGTAGACCAGGCTGGTCTCGAACTCACAGAGATCCGCCTGCCTCTGCCTCCCGAGTGCTGGGATTAAAGGCGTGCGCCACCATCGCCTGGCCAGGTAAGGATTTTCAAAGGAGCCACACTACTGGGCTACTGGAGGCCTGGATAAAATAGTATAGGTATATATATATATATATATATGAGTTAGTTAGCCAATAATCCTGACCCTTCCCCTTCTGTCAGATTTTTTTTTTCTTTTCTTTCATCTTTCAAGTAGGATTTCTCTGTGTAACAGCCCTTGCTGTCCTGGAACTCACTTTGTAGAGCAGACTGGCCAGGAACTCACTGAAATCCACCTGCCTCGGCCTCCTGAGTGCTGGAATTAAAAGCATACACCACAATCACCCGACTTTCTGCCAGACAGTTTGTGTCAGAAACAACTAACATTAAAATAGCAAGAAGAATTCATCATCAAAAAACATACTTTGTAAAAATGAGTGGGAAAGGCTAGCAAGAAGATGCCTTAGGAAGCCCGGTGAGCTGAGTTCTATCTCCAGAAACCATGTAAACATGAAAAACCAGAACTCCACAAACTTGTCCTCTGATTTCCACATGCTTGTTATGGAAGCACCAAAACATGTGTGCAAGACACAATTACAAACATACAAACAGCCAGGCGATAGTGGTGCATGCCTTTATAATTCCAGCACTCAGAGGCAGAGGCAGTTCAATCTGACTTTGAGGCCAGCCTGGTCTACAGAGCAAGTTCCAAGACAACCAGAGATATACAGAGAAATCATCTCAAAAAACCAAAAACAAGCAAACAAACAAAAATACAAATAACAATGACAACAATAATATTAAACCAACTGGGCCCACAAATTTACTCAGCAGTAAAGGTACTTCTTGTTCAGTTGGAACCTCTAGCTCACCCCTGCA